GACCATTTTCTAAACTGTTTCTCTCTTTCTTCATTGTTCTCCTTTGTTTTGTCTTCTTCCTCCCTGCATTCATTATGTCTAAAATACTGTAGTGCTGAATTTGTGGGGATGCATCTTCTATGTACTTACACTCTTTTGCCATCTCTTTCCTTTTTCCTTTCTTTGATCTATTTTTTTAGTCTTTGTTCTTTTATTTTTCTTTTCCCTTTTTTTTTCTTTTTTTCCTGAGAAGATTTTCAAGCAGTCTTGAAATACTTTAATGTATTCCTCTGAGCGGCCTTTATTTCTGCATTGCTTGCTTCTTGGGTCCTGACTGAGCATTCCTTTAGCAAGATATATTCCAGCTTCCTCCATAACAGACTGTGTAAGTAAATCTTCCCAAAATAGGTCACTTTCAGAAGAATAATTTAAATATGGTCTTAACACTGAGGAAATTAACCAGTGAGAAGGATATGGGCAACTTTCAAGAATATCAATATGTATATATATATATATGTATATTTTAAAAGGATTTCCCAGAACAGGATGTTCCCTCCTGTTGTAGGATCAGAAGATGTGCCAAGCAAAGATGTTAGGTGAGGTCGTCTTATTTTTTGTGAGTATTGAAGGAATTTCTCCTAAATATTGAAGATGTTAATTACTGAAGAAGAGAAAAGAGAATGAAGTGTTGGACTTCTCTCATTTCTGCTGTTGTTATGTTACGTAGTGGGATTCACAGCCTTTTCGACGAGTGTTGCTCTAGGGAAGGAAGTCCCAAGGTTAAAAGACCTCTGCCACTTACTATTAGAAAGTTAGATTCAAAAAACTATATCAGCCCATTTTCATCCATTTAAATCAAATGTCAGATCTCCAGGTTCACATAGTCCTTTTAATGTCTCAATTTTATTTTTTATTTTTTCTGTAGCATTCTTCTTTGGAGCAAAAGACAATACCAGAAAATCTGCCCTCCCCAGCAGACAAGTATAAAGTAAAGTATCAGCAGTATGAGGCAGAGATGAAGGAAAGATATAAGCAGTACTCTCAAAGAATTGCAGAAAAGAAAAAAGACCACAGCCAATGTCAAGAAGCTTCAACAAAGGTAACTAACAAGAAACAGTTAAATTTTAATGGCAAATGTGTGATGGTATTTCATTACAGTGTGTAGAGGGGTTTGCATATATGTGTAAATAATGTTCTTTTTAAAAAACTTCTTCCATCTATTGTATAGCTATTTCCATCTGTGGTTTCAGCAGCTGAAGTTGAATATGGTAAAAGCCATAGGAAGTTTACCAGGAAGTTTTATATCACTTATATAAAAACAAAAAATGGTGAAGGAGTATAGGGTTAAAATAATGGAAGATAATACCTGTCCTTTTTGCTTTAAGCCTGTATGAGATTGAGTACAGTGCTTTCTCTTGAACCTTTGTCTATATCCTCTGTATGGGAGATATTTCCATAATACCTGCAAACATGGACCAAGGTCTGTGCTTTGCCTCTTCACTGTTCACACTGTATTTTACTTCTTTGCTGGGCAAGAAGCAGCACTTCAGCTGAGGTAGGCTTTTCACTATGTGTAAGATAGAAAATTCATTGGTTTTTGTTGGCTGTTGCTGAACAGAACAGAGAAGGGATGAATTCTTCTTCAGTGAGATACTAGGGGTTTATCTTCTCTGTTGCTATTTTTTCACGAAGCTTGTAGGAACGCAATATTTTTGAGATTTTCTGCTTTTATATGGTTGAAAGCTGGTGAGGATTTGAAAACTATATGGAGAGAACACAGCAAGATTCTGAGAGTTCTGTTTCTGTATTTTTTTTTTAGCCTGCCTTTCTAAGAAATTAGCACAAAGAAGAATATAGACTGGGGGAAAAAGAAAAAGGAATTTTTAATAAATAAAGATTTTTTTTACAGTTATTTAACTTTGTTATGAAAAGCATGTGTTATATTTTTGTATAGGGTACACACCTTGAAGACAGGCAGAATGAACATATGGCAGCTCTTGATGAGAAAGCTCTCATTCAGCAAGGCTATACAAGCAAGCCTTACAATATGCAGCACAGCATAAAGAAATCAGAAGCTGTAAGTTTTTTCAGCTGAATTTAGCCTGTATAGACTACTATCTACTAATTATCTGTAATACTTTTTTTTTCTTGTAGCATGTATACAAATGAAAATGCAATTTATGAATAATAAATAGAAATAAATACATAGAAATAAGAAGACTAACTCTAGGTAACTTATGTGAACCTGACTATACTGTTATGTTTGCTCTGGTATTTAGCTTGTCTTTGAGCCTGTATTCCGTGTTCATACAAAGTGTGAACACATCTGTTCTTGCTCTGCCTTGTTTCTAGAGCAAACAGTGTTTTCCCTTGTTAACTCCTGAGCTTGTGATAAGACCTGTCTTTGCAAGCAGTATGAGCTCTATTTTTACTATTGGATTAGGTCATTGGATTTGACTCAGTCTTAAAACTGCCAAGCATGGAGTTTCTGCAGCATCTCTACGAATCATATTCCTCTGCTCTGTTGCGCTCTCCATGAAGTAGTTTTTTCCAGTAACCATCCTGAGTCCCAAGGCTTCACCTGTGACTTTGACCAGCTGTTACACTGTCAAAAAAAATCTGGCTCTGTCATCTTTATTACTGTCCTTTGGTTGTAGGCTGCTTTTACAATGCCCCATAGCTTCCTCTTCTGCAGAATAAACAAACCAATAAACAAAGAATAAGTTTATTGGAAATAATGCAGAGATAAGGAAAGCTGTCTTTCAATAGAAATACTAGAAATCTCATGTTTATTGACAGCTAAAATTGATAGACCATTTAGTATGTAGCAGAGAATATTGTTTGGCTGTTCTTCATTTGAATAGGACTCCTCTATTCAAAAAAGGTGGGGAAAAAAACCTTGAAAATACCAGATTAGTTGCAATATTATTGAGTTGTTGGAGTGTCTGTTGTTTTATTTCATTTACTCTCAGACATTTTTTCCTTACAGGAGGATGTAGCTGCAGAGAGGAGAAAACAAACTGTAGTAGAACAGGTGATGGTGGATCAGTTATCTAGGTGAGGGACTAATTAAATATGTTACAGTTTTCCATGGGGAGTAATTCAGATCTGTGAACATTTGGCATTTATTGCAAAGGAGGAGTTTTGACCACATCAAACTTTTCCACATTTTCGAGTGTGCTTTAGTAATCCTGGGATGTACTAAAATTGTCTGGTGATGGCAATATAGTTTGATGATGACGATATAGTTTGGTGCAGGCTAGTTCAATAATGTTTCTCATTATTTGTTTAAAATCAGCTGTGGGTATTTCTGCATTCTGGTGCCTCCATACTTAGTTACTGTGCCTCTAATTGTTTATACTTATGGAAAACTCGCATGAAGGTGCGAAGTTGTTCATCAAACATGTTTACATTCCAAATGTCATTGTAACAGGATTAAGAATATGAAAGTTAGAAACAGTGTTCAATACAGAACAATCAGTTTTCAAAAATAATGCTTGTACCTTGCCATATCTTTACAAATAGATAAGCAAAGCAGATGATTATGGGGATCATTTTAACAATACGCTGGTTATGCTGAAGTGGTTTTAATCCTATTGATGCTGGATTAAATGCTCAGCGTTGTGCTCTTGGTTCACTAATCGTTCTGTGCTTAAAATCCTTTAGCTGCTCCTCTTTTTTTTATAATTCTTGTGTTTCTTCTCCTGCTTTGAACCCTTCTATTGACACTGTCAAAACAATGTTCAGTAGTGCCGCAGCTGCAGCAGGATGAACTTTTAATTTAAAAATTCTCTCTGTTTATGTTCCAAATATAACTGTGCCAGCACTGCCAAGGGAATTGGTAGCAGAGAGCAGGATGGTAATCGGGGAAGATTAGTTCAAAACTGTCACATGAGAAATCTATAAAAGGAAACACAAAAGTTTTTTTCTATTATTTTGTTTTAATGGAGCTAAATTTGTAGTTAAGTCAGTGCAACTAATCTGTGTAAGGATGGATCTGCATAGATCAGAGAGTAGCTTTATAGATTATAAAATATAAAAATTATTAGCCATACAAAACTATTTTTTACCTTTTGATTATGAACCATTTCGGTAATGTAAGAAAACATGCAGTCTAATGTAGTTTTTAAGAGCTACCTCTTTTGCTTTGATTCTTAAACTGATAAAGAGATTATCATAATGTGCAGATTTCAGTTCATTTCTCTCCCACATCCTTGTTGGGACTTTGGGATCCTGCAGACTGGGTAGCCAGTGCCTTGAGATGAGAAGTTTCCGTGGGTGATTTTATTGAATGATGTCATTACCCAGCACTGATTTATTTGGAAGAGGCCACCGATGGAGAAGATAAACGAAACAGTGGGAATGAGGCAAAAAACCCCACAAACAAACCTTCTGAACTGTACACATGAAGTTACTACCAGTGTTCCATTACCAGACTGTTGTTGCATATATTTGACTTTGAGTAATAGGTTCAGACTTTGTAAAAAATACACAAAATGAAGCATGATTAATGTTTATCTCCATATCTCCATGTTCTTACTGTTGCTTTTTTTTTTCTTTTTTTTTGGAGTGAAAATATGTGAGATCATATGCTTCCTTTTGGTTCCTGTTACTTATTCCTACTTGCCCTTTTTGTTTAGGGCTGTTATAAGTGATCCAGAGCAATCAACACGAGCTGATGTTGATTTGGCATCTCATGGACTTCCAGGACTTGGGACAGCACCATTACGCTTTAGAAAAAGAACACTACATGAAACAAAGTAAGTTTTCCCAAGTGGTATTCTTTAGAAATTCTTTTTTGGGGGCTCTGATTATTTTGGGCTCTGTTAAGCCTTCCCTGACAAGTTTGTTATTGAAAGCATGTCTCTACAAGGACAAAGGACTGCAGACTATGACAGGTGAGGGAAATTGTAATAATTCCCTGGCCTGCCTCCTTCCAGGCCCTTCACAGCCATGCTCACCTCCAGAAGCATAGAGGCAGGCAGGGGAAGCCAAATTGTCTGCTCTCAGGCAATTGTCCTAGTGCCTCCCAGCCCTGACCCAGGAGAGCCATCAGTGAGTTGGTATTTTTCCATAATCTTTTCCTAATCTCTCCGAAGTATTTTTACGTGCTTTGTTCCTGACTTAGATCCAGTAGCTTAATGCAAGTTCATTTTTCTTTTTTCTTTTTAAATTTAATTTTTATTTTTTATTTAGAGTTCTCATGCAAGCTGGGAGTGCTATCTTGCCAGCTGCCTTTGAGTTGGCTGCATGCTTACAATCTTGGTTTTTTTGATTCCCATCCTGAGGTGCAAAAATTGCATGAATATATATTAGCAGATACTGATGTAGATCTTCACAACATAATCAGACTTTCTCTCGTGTTTTGATTTCTGCTGAAATAGGTAACTGGGCATCTAAATGTCATTTCTTGCTTGTGAACATTCAAGTGGTTACTCTATGATCTTGAGAAAAAGCAAGCAAATGCTTGAGAAAAGCATTTTGATAAAGAGATTGCTGTATAGTTCTTATGTACATATATTTTTGTTGATCTGTCCCAATATACAGGCAGACATTTCTGTTTTGCTTATTTTAATGCCATGTTCTTAAGCTTTCTCAAAAAGTTTCTGTTTTATCTATATTCTTTTAAAACAAAGAAAGGCAATAAAAACTGTTATTTTTATGAACAGTTGCCCAGTCTCAGTCTCTTACATCCATCATGTGGACATACTTCCTTTTCTGGAAATAGTGATCTATGCTCATGGTTGATATAAAGTATCTAGGTCAGTAAAGAAGACTCCACATGAGTATTTTGCATGAAAATGTATTGTGTGGAAGGAGCATGGTGGAGGTTTAATTATTGACATGAGTGTATCTAAAAAAGATAGATTTCTATAATTTTTGTGGATGCAGTCTTTTTCTGTGGTGAGCAGTTGTATGATGCAATTGCATCTCTGAGTTTCTTTCTAATTCAGCTGCAAGGGATCATCACTTCAGCCAGGTTGCCAAGGATACCATATTTCATATTTTTACTGTTTTGAAACTGCTGATTTTAATGTAATATTGCTTTGTGAGAATATAGGTGTTAACAAGTTGAATTGTTTTCACAGAATAAAGACCAAATCAGGATTAACTGAAAACATGCTTTCTAACAAGCTACGCTTTGATAGTAGGATTGTATCAAGGTAATCACAAATTTTTGTAAAGATTTTCAGTTTTATGAATTTATGAATGGTGATCTTTACCCTCTTGAAATAGTTAATTGCACTGAACCTTTCTTTCCGACCCCCGTGTTTAAAAAAAAAAAAAAAAAAAAAGCATTTGAGATGTGGATATATATATATAAACATGTATAAATACAGATTTTGTTGTGGCTGACTTAGTGGTTTACAGTCCCATTGCACAACATTAAGATGCTTAAGTAATGTTATAATTACATGCATCTTATCTCTGTGCAGGACACAAGGGCTGTATAGAATAGTGCTCTTAACCATTGCACGTCAGTTAGTTAAATTTGATTTTGGCCTCATTTTAACATGCAGCAACCATTGCATGGCTTTGTTTGTAGCTCCTTGCATACACTGAATCCACAAGTTTTAGTATCTTTGTAATTAGTCCAAATTTTCTGAAGCCCTGAACTACGTACCCCACTTGTTACATGCAGGCGAGGATTCAGCCACATCGCTTTATACACCACAGTGAATGCAGAAGTCCTGATTTAGGTAATCCTTTAGTTAATGAATGAAAATTACATTGGTATCCTAGAGATGCAGTTTTGAAAGGTGTTCTTAATATTACGAAGAAATAAAATTGAATTAAGACATGTGTCCTAATATACGGATTGAATTACATGGTATTTAAGTGAAAAGGGTCAGGTATCTCATTCAAAGAAAAAGATTATGCAGTAAGTAGCGCTGAACATAAAATACATATTTCAAAATAGAAGCATTATTTCTGTTTGAGTCGAATGTGGTTTATATAAATGCAAAAATAAAAAGACGCTTTTCAATTTTCCTTCTAGAAATGGTCGTGATGCTTGTAGAGAATTGATTGGATTTTTTTTTGCATATGACAGATCCATTACTGTGTATGAATTTCGACAGTTTGGAAAAAATAGGTAGGATAAGTCCTATTTGGAGCATGTTACCTATTACAACAAATCTAAGAGGCTTAGCAGTTGTTTTAAGATCCATTTTGAATTATTTCACAGAACAAATGCCTTGCCTTTCATTCAGAAGGGAATTTATCAACACCAGCAAGGACAAAAGAAGGGAAAAGCTTATGCTCTCAGTGACTTTTATATTGTGAGTATTCTTCTATTGAACATATGTCAATTTTATTGATGATTTAAAAATAATATCTAAGTATTAGTGTGGCACATTGTGATTTAGCATTTAGGGCAAGACTTTCAGTTAATTTTGTTAGGCTTTTCCCATTTAAAGTTTTCAGAAGTCTGGATTATTTTGCTGTCAATGTTTAGAGCTTCCACTTTAGTTTAACCTACAGTTTGTACTTTTTTTCTCTAGAGGGCATAAGGTTGCAGACAGTGAACGATTGGTAAACATTAAAGAGTGTTAACATGAAGAGCTTAGGCAGGAGGGTTTGAAGATCAGATAGATTGAAGTATTTGTTCAAAATTAAGAACCTTTGCAAGGTCTGCTGGCACTTTTCACACTGAGGAATGACTGATTTTTTTTAAACCTGAGAAAATGTGTAGGATATATGAGTTTAACCTAAACTTTGAGGAGATTTACCACCATATGTTTAGGAATAGTTTTGAAAATAAACCTTTGCAAAAGGTATTCATTTGAATATAAAAAAACTAAAGTCAAGGCTAATCTTATCAGTGACTGTAAATGATATTGCATCTTCTGTACTGCTGGATTTGTGGGTTAGGTGTTCTTAGTTTATAAACATGTAAGCATTGTTTTCAGGTATAGAATGTTTCCATTGATTTTTCAGACTTTAATTCGCCATCTAATCTTAAGCTTAGAGTAATGATGTATTTGAATATGAAAATAAAAGAACAAAACATTTGTTTTAGAGTAGTTCATCTGATCTACCTTCTCTTAACTGTTTACTATGTGTGCCTACCATGTGAAGTTTGAAGATGAAATAGATGACTTTATTGTATGGCAGTTGCAGCCACAGACAATTTTTATGGTCACTATTGATATGTTTGCAAGATGTAGATGCAGATGGAAAGAATAAAATGTGTTCTGGACAGAGATGCTTCTTTAAGGCATCCAGAAAAATGTGTTCTTACTCAGTCTGATAGCTATCGGAATTATCTTGGCTTATCTATAAATCCCCATATCTGCAAAGGGGTTTTCTGGGCTAGCATTAAGATGTACAACTGCCTCTCAAAATCCATGTGCCTGGCAGAGTGGCCCTTGATACTTTATGGGTTTTGGAGACTTCACAACTGAAGCCTGCATGATATCACAGTTAGAGATACTGCTTTTGTGATTCTTCTCGGGGTTCTTTGCTCTTAGTCTGCTGCTTTTCCCTCCCTCCCTTCCTTCCTCCCTCCCTTCCTTCCTCCCTCCCTTCTTTCCTCCCTCCCTCCCTTCTTCCCTCCCTCCCTCCCTCCCTTCCTTCCTTCCTTCCTGCCTTCTCACAACTTTGGAGTAAGTTGTAGAGTGTCCCCAGACCTCAACCCAGAGGGAAGGGGAGAATCAGTAAGACTTAGAAGGGGCTACATTGGGAATTGTGTATTACTGTTAGTATGTCTTTATTTGGAATTTATGAGTGAAATCCAGTAAATTTAAATAATTACTGTATATTTAAGCATTGCACAAATGATCTGAACTTTTGGATGACTACTCTTTAGTTGTTTGTAGCTGCTAAATATGATTTTTAGATTGCTTAAAATAGCTATGGAGGGTTTCTTCTAGTTTGAAAGGAGTTTGTTGTCATAGAATCAATGTAGCACCTTCTACCTGGAACTGTCTTTTGTAGTCCAGAGATTTCTGAATGCCATAATGATGAAAGAAGAAGGAGAGGAAAAGGAAAAGTAGAGCCAGGCAGTGAAGGAACAGTGCCCTGCAATCTCACATTCCTGAGCTGTGCATTAGGCCACAGGAGCCTCTTGTACTAGGCAGGAGCTGGATGTGGAAGATAATGAGTATGAGCTTTGAGCTTGGAGCTGTTTTGGGAGTGTGTTTGGTGTGTGTGTATGTGCCAGAAAGGCTCTGTTAAAAATATTAACTGGGCTTAGCTACACTTTTCTGCCATTTTGTACCAAGAATTATGCGTCCTGAAAGATGTGCAGGACATGGTGATGTGCAGAAAACGTATGATTGGCTTGTGATTCATTATATTCTGTGTCCTCAGGGAGCTAACCTCACTTTCCGGAGTGCTGATCATAACCTTCCAGAAAGTGTTAAGCAGAACCCCATTCTCACCCTTCGTGTGACAAGTATTGATGGAGCAGCTATGGATTATCTAAAGTACGTGTAGCTGTTTTTCAAATTACTCTTCCTCCCTTACAAAGAAGTTAAGTATATTGGATCTGCTAATGTTATATTATTTATACTGTTAACAAATTCTACAATTTGGCTGTTGTTGAGAAAAAAATGATAGATGTGAATGGATATTCTGTAATTCAGTAATCTTTTAGTATGATAAGGAGTAATTTTTAAATAAGAATTAATTAAATTATGAAATTATCCCATTTGCTTTGTTTGAAAATTTGAAGTCTTTTCTTTTTTTATACAAGTCATATATTGAAACTTTCCCATGATGAACTGAAGTGCTACATTTGGAGAAAGCCTTTAACTGATCAGCAGTATCACTGAATCTTTTATGACGTGTTTATGTTTAAAACAATCAAATAATTATGATAGTCAGCCATGGTAATTCTAGTGTTTAACAGAGGCAGAGGAAAAGACTATAGAGTGCCTGTGCATGCTTCCTCTCTCTCTCTCTCCCACTCTCTCATGCATGCTCTCTCTCTCTCGTTTTTAATCTTTGCCTTCTCTTCATTTGTTATTTACTTTCATTCTCCAGATATTGCCTCATGTGCCATGTGAAAACTAAGAACACTGGGTCATCATTCTTTATCATCTCGTGTGCTTTCTCATTCCTTTGGGTATTGAACCCGATGTTCCAACAGAACCTTTTTTCACACGCTCCTTTCGTAAGCCTCTGAGGTTCTCTGTATTTTGTAATTCTTTGTTTTAGTATTTTGGTGCAAAGTGATGTGTTCTGCTCACTGCAGCATAGGGTGATGCTTGTCTCTAGCACCAAATCTGCATTTCTGATGAAGGAGAAAATGAGTCCTCAATAGTATCCTCTCTGCTGCTGTGTGTCATCCAGGCCATAAATGCTGGGAGAGCTGGAGTAGAGAGTATACCTAGCCCTTCCCAACAGAATGAGCTGTTGTCATAGGGAGAAAATTATTTCCTTTTTGTGCATTGCCTCTCTTTTATGATCAGTGAAATACAGGTATGATGTTGATACAGATCAGAGATAATACATTTATGTATCAGAAAAGCTCCTCTGGAACAGTGTTTCTGTACTTTTTTCTTTCAAAATGGTTTTGGTAAATTAGGTTGTTTCTTAGTCTGAAAGATGGGAATTTCTTAGAACTTTTAAAAATCGTTAGGTGAATGGGTAATATTTGAATATGCACTATTTTGTAGATAGTATTCTCATCTTACTATCTACACAGAAGTAAACTGTCTAGGGAATGCAGTGTCTTCCTCTGAGGTGTCTGGGTTTTATTGCTGGTTCTTATCACAAATAATATTTTGGCATTTATTAGGGTGTTGCCTTAATATTGAGGTTACTTAACATAATTGAAAAGTTGGAGCTCGGTGAATCAAATTTTGGTAAATAGTTAACCAAAGTTAGTTAATAGATGTTACAAGTTGGATTTTTGTAATAGAATCACAGAATGATTGATTTGGAAGAGACCCCAAGAAATTCTGTAGTCCAACCTGCCTTGCTCCGAGCTGGGACAGCTAGAGCAGGAAGTCAGGATGATGTCCAGTTGGGTTTTGACTGTCTCCAAGGATGGAGACTCTACAATCTGTCTGGTCAATCTGTTCCAGTGTTCAACTGCACTCAGAGTGGAAAAAAAATCTTCTTAAGTTTAAATGGAATTTCCTGTTTGTCAGTTTGTGCCCATTGCCTTTATCCTTTCATGGGTATTTCTGATAAAACGGCTCTCCATCTTTACTCTCTCTCCAAGCAGGTATTTATACAGAATAAGAAGATCCTCCCCCAAAGAATAATGGGATCCTCTCCCAAGATTTCTCTTCTTGAGACTATATCCCAGCAACCTGAGTCTCTCTTCGTATGCTAGATACTCCAGTTCCTTCTAGAGTAGGAACAGCAATAACAGATCCCCAGTTAAATACATTCGCTATATAAAGATTGCTTTAGTTAGAATAAATATAACTATTATTTTCTTTCTGCAAGTGCCTAGATACATGAAGCTTGTTCCTATAGTAATACTCTCTTTGAAGTCCCTTTACACTGAAAGCACTGCAAAGGAGCCGTGAGGTAACAGTCCATAAAACAGTAAATTTAAATTGACTTGCTTATAGAAATGTATAGTTTTATGATGCTTAATGTTAATTTTTCCCTCCCTGCAAGGTTTCTATGAAATGGAAAACAATACAATTTAATTTTGGGTAGTTTAGGCAAGACTTTGTGCATCTGAAGTGTATCCTTCTGTTACACAGCTCCCTTCATTCTTTGCTAATCTGGTACCTGTGGAGTTTTGAGTTGATCAAATATTATCTCTAAAGGCTCTCTTGAGAGATATCAAGACCTGCTCTTTAGGTCACAATTCACATCTGGATATTCTGCTATCTATGGCAGAACAGATTGTGTCTTTTTTATTCTCTCTCAGATTAAAGTGTTTTCTTCTAGATTTTGAATTCTGTCGTTCTCTTCTGAGGTGGGGGACTACTGAAATCTAACTCACTGCATTCTCTGGTACAACACTCTTGAAGTGACTTCTTGTCCACAGAGAATGCTGCTCACAGCGTTTGTTGCAGGTTTTCAGGAGGTTCTATGCCCCACTGTCACAGATCACAAAATCTCTGTATTTTAGATATGTTTTAAAGAAGATGAACTGTCCTTGTAGCTGGTTGTTGACTTTCTGCCTATAGATTATGGGATTTTGGTTAGACAGGCTTTTGCGGACCAAACTGCATAATGGGAATTGGCCAATTAGGAAGTGAAAATCCTTCATTAGCAGAGAGTCTTTGGCCTCAGAAGAAAGAAGAAAGTACTCCCTGAGAAGGCACTAATGAGCAAACAGCACAAAGTTGGCTGTAGTGCTTTTGCCTCTGCCTTCCTACTCCAACTAAAGTAGTGATTTTTTTTTGTGTGTGTGTGTGTATTTTTTTCCATACTATTTTTCATCCAACTTTATAACAATTTCTGTGAATGGTGTTTCTCTATAGAAATGTACCCACAGAAAAGTCCTTCTATGGAGTCTCTTCTGAGGAACTTGCCAGACAAACCAGAAGTTTTTAAGTATAATTTCTAGACCAGATGTTCTGATGTAAGATGTTCTGATCCGGTTTTAGATCTGCAGTGTCGCTACTGTTTCTTGTCAGCATGGCCATACCTAGAAAACAAACTTCTTTTTTCCTTAGCTTTGAGTATTATTTTTGTTTATTATGTTATTTTTGTTTATTTTGACAGACCTACAAGTTAAACTATATGAATAAAAACAAAAAGAAATGGCGTCAGAAGCTCAGAATGGTCTTTGAGTCAGGATCCATGCCTGCAACTCTAGTTAGTACTGCTTTCTTCAGAAGATGATGCATCTTATCATGGAAAGATACTTTTCTTCTTCTTTTTATTGTCTCAGTCGCACACTTGAGAGGTCTTCATACTTGAAAACTCTTCATACATGAGAAATGCCCTTTCTGAACCGAATTCTCCCTTTACTGTTTAGGGAGACATTTCTATCTTTTTAGTTTAGCAGATTTCTGACAGTTTCTCTTTGGAGCTGTTTGTAGGTTTCTTGGAGAAAGTGCAGCCACTGCAGTTAAAAGGTTTGGATGTCAGTGATGGATCATGTAAGTTGAATCAGGTTTGTAGTATGGAGTACATGGAGTCCCTTCTATAAGGAATTGGTGACATCCTGTGAAATACGTCCACACAGATAAAGGGAAATGTTTGTAAGGGTATCATAAAAATGTAATGTAAAATTCAAATTTTGTACACCTTTCTTCTTTTTTTTTTCAATTTGGTAACATTACATATAAATCCACCAGTGAGTATGAATTTGCTCTATTTCAGAGCTAGTTCTATGGAACTTGAGCAAGAATTTGACAAGCAAGAGACTGATGACAACAGAGTTTTCAGGAAGATCCAAGGTTTGTGTCTTCTAGAACGCACTTAATTTTTTCTGTTTTACAACTCAACACAAAGAAGAGTAGTGATATTTTAATAATTTTGTTATTAAATTAAAAGTTAGATATTTTAATGTTATGAATATTACTGGAATCTGATATCAGAATAAAGCAATCAAAAGAACACTGTATCCTCTTACAGATATGCCTTTTAGTTTGCCTTCTTTCAATACAGAGATCTGCCTAAAGATCATGGAAAATGTACAGAATAATTATGAATGTAACCAAAAAATGTTACTCTGTAATGACATAATCTATGAAAATATGCTAAAGCATAGCACTGATCTTGTGTTAAATTGTCATTGTTTTAAAAGTTACTGGCAAAATGTACAAAAGACAATCCTATTCCTTCAGTCAATTTTGTAATATGCTAATTTTAGATAGTTCTTTTGACCATTAATTATGTATATTGAATAGTTATTATTTTTCAGTCTTTAATATTATATTAACTAATATGTGAGTGTGTCACAGAATACCTAAGTGAATTTTACCAGGTTCCTACCTACAGTCTTTTAGACAAGAGTGTGTCTTTGTGTTTAAAGTTATAGAAAGAGATTTGTACACTGTTGCTTATTTTCTCTATAACCTAACAAAAATTTTTGAATTTGGTCAAATCCTGATTTGCTCAAGTATTTACTGCCATTAGCTTCTTCTTTTTTAAAAAAAAAAAAAATAACGTAGTCTTCAGTGACTAAAATCTGCTTGGACACTTTTAGAAAAATTATTGACTGATAAATAAATCTTCTAATTCTACCAATTTTTCTTCTCTGGCATAATACACACAAAGTATTCATGATTATCTGGTTATATCTAAAATACGGTATGGCCTGGAGGAAGGTTACACTTACGTATTTTAAGACCTATTTTAACATTTTGAGTGTTTGATGGGAAACAGCTATATTCCTTCATTTTGATTTGTAATAGTAAATATTAGTAATTGGAAAAAAAAAGGATAATAACAGATTACTTTTGTAATCTCTTACCTACAGGTTCTAATATGACCATCATTTTTACTATATAAATAATTCTGTGGATATTATTTTGGAACAATTTTGCCAAATCATTTCCATTTGTTCTTGTTTCAACATTCATTTAATCTTTTGTACAGTAAAGGAGTAGTTCTGTGCCCCATAATCAAAAGTTGGTAAAAGTTTGTATTGCTAAGTATGATGTTGGTATATTACTTTTTATGTTGAATGATGACATGTAATCATTTCTAGTGGAAACGAGCAGGATTTTTTACTTGCACATGTAGAGTGAAAACCATTCTTTCTTTCCTTGTGTAGCCTTTTTAATGGTCTATCAGGTGTGGCTGTCCTTTATAGGACTTATATTTAAATATTGAGTAACTGATAGTTTCATTTTGAACTAGTATTTTCTCTTCAAAGCTGAGGATTTTTCATCTTAACTAGTAGCATCATAAGTAGTTATGGTTTTATTTCTTTTAAGTCATCTCCAAAACATCATGCTAACTTCATGTAAATATTTTTTTCTCTGGATCCCCAGGTGTGCTCAGAGAGACACTAAGTAAAAGGGGAGTTCGTGTTATAACAGGCTTAGGCAAGTATTTCCGACAACTAGACAAGAGCAGAAATGGGTTTCTCTCTCAGGCAGACTTTAAAGCAGCTCTAAAATTATTCCATTTGGAAGTCCCTGAAGGGGTGAGTCTAACTAAAACTGCTTAATAATTATTTTTGCAGGTGTGGTTTTTTTTTTTTGCTTGTTTTTTTTTTTGCTTTTGCATTTTGTCATTTCTGTGTTCAGTCCCATGTGAAATTAAAAAATAAAGTTACTTATGAATGAAATGTGCATAAGTACTTTTTGTGTTACAAAGAAGAAAGTGGGACTGCTATCCATTTTTGTCTTTTTTGATCCTTTAGAAATAATTAATATGATTCTATTTTCTTCTTCAAGTTGCTTTTAACTTACATGACAGAAATTTTGTTAACACTGTATATGTTTTGTTGTAAAAATTACCCACATATAGCAAAACTGCAGATAACTCAGATAACTTTTTTTTTTTTAATGGTGATCAGTGACCCTTATTAGCTTGCATTAGTTTGGTGTATCTTGGAGTCTTTTGGGAAGATATTGTAATATTCTACATGACAATTGCATTCTTGTTGCACATAGTAAAGACATCAAGACATTTATTGACACTTATCAAGACATTTATTGGTTCCACTGTGTAAAAAAAAAAAAAAGAACTTTACTGCCTTGCATTAATATCAGAGAAGAACTAAGATATCCTTGTCTCTTAAGTGGTAGTGGTAGAACTTTTGAATTTAACAGGGATTGTCAATGTTTCACCATCTTAGAGTGGAAAGGGGCATGTCCTTGAACCATACTTTTTTTTTTGCCTGCAGTAACTGCAAGTGCTCTGCTTGTTAAGAAATAGTTTATATTTTGTTATCAAAGTTTTATCTCCATCACTGTGGTATGTGTTGTATTTTAAATGCATTGAATTTCATCATGACTGAAAATAAAAAATGAGTGTTCTGTATTTTCTTTGCAATGTAATAATGGCATAATTGTTGTATTCATATGTATTTTATAAGAATTGATGTTGGGAAATTACTTATACATTACAGGACTTTGAATCCTTATGGCTTATTCTGGATCATAGCAAGACAGATAAAGTTGACTATGGAGAATTTATTCGTGCTGTAGTTGGAGAAATGAACGAGCATAGGAAAGCATTTGTAAGAAAAGTAAGTTTCATAGCAGATATTCTGAATGTAGATATTTTCTTCTGTAACTTTTTAGTTGGTTATTCACCACATTTTGATTTTTCTTAAAATGTGCATCTAACAACTCTTTAAGCTGTCAGATATATTTATTAAAATAAATGTAGTTTAGAAGACGCACATTATTCCCTTGTTGAATTAGTTAATTTTGAACTCTGCATTTTGGAATTAAACCTTTAACCATTTTGAGTTTATGAGAACGTGTGCTATTCTCACTGTTTGGTCTAGTGGATAAAGCATTGGGCTGTGTGAAACTAACTCTTCCAGAAACCTGATTGCTTGATTTTGGACAGATCACTGTCACTATTTTCCTCTATGTGTGAAACATGGAAATAATACTTGCCTTCTTTGAGCCCTACTAACGCTTGGAGGAACTGTATAAGACATTTTGTAGCTGTGTGTGGACATTTTTATATGTGTAGCTAAAACTGAATCGAGAAAGGGATTGGTAATGTAATGTAGAGCCAGCTGCAGTATAATGCATTGATTACAAACTAGTCAATATTTAGGTGACTGGCTGTCATGAAGATCATGAAAAAAATTATATATTTTTATATTTCTAAGCACTGAGGATCAAACTCTCCTAGCCTTATATATCGAATATGTTTTTGAGCAAAACTGTTGAAATGAAAGTGAGGTTGCTGTAAGCAATGTTGAGGCTTCCCTGCTTACCAGAACGACCCCTGGGAGTCTTTGTAATTAGAGGATGCAAGAAGGAAGTAGCGTACGTGCAGATTCTAAGGATAAGCTAGAAATTTCGGAGAGAGAAGACAACTTTTTGCGTTTGTTATGTGACATTTGATATGAAGGTGGTTGAGATAAAATAATCACGAGAATCCATATTCTAGATTCACTTTCTGGTATTCATTGACAATGCTGGCAGGTTAAACTTGCTTACATAAAGTAGGTAAGTTGACATAATCCTTTGGGTGGATCGAAACATGCTTCTCTTCCCCCTTGTTTAGGCCTATATGAAACTAGATTTCAACAAAACTGGGACCGTGCCTATGACAGATATCAGAAAATGTTACTGTGCAAAGAAACACCCTCTAGTATTGGCAGGTAATTCCCTTTTACTTTTAAAAACAAACAAAACAGAAAACCTTGTTAGCAGAGATATTGGATTCAGAACTTATTTGTTATAAATATAACCTCTTATTGACTTAGACTGGAAATGTTGGACAAAAAGTTTTCTTTTTCCTCTGATTAGTTATAATGTGTTCGTTACATGACTACAAATTGTAATGTAGTTCATATACACAATTTTAATACTTGTTTTTTCTTTTACTCAAATTACAAATACTTCATTTTTGCAGATTAGATTCCTTTCCTTACCTGTGTAGGACTTCATTTACGTAGTTACGTCTCAAATTTTGCAAGCAAGTAATCCATGACACATATGATGTTACTAATTTTCACTTCAGAGGAGAAAGTGTTTTTTTAATGACTGTTTTTCCTGAAAACATGTAAGGCTTCCAAGTGTCATTAAATGTAGTTGGCACTTGAATTTCTGAATAAATTATTCATTTATTTCTGGGGCATGATTTGTCATCTTTTACAGAAGAAGTGTTGGGATCTTCATTATTTGTTCAGGACTCTCAAAAAGGTTCAATTTTGGCCATTGAAAAAAATAGGACTTTAAATCTTTGTAGGTTAATTTCTAAAATAACATCTCCATGTTCAAATTAGTTCTTGTTAAAGTCTCCCTTGTGCCCTGCCCCTTGCTATTTTACCTGCAGAAGGGAGAATGTTTTCTGTATTGTCAGTGATTTTAATAGTAACACATGAAGATACAATGCCATGGAGATGTTGAACAGAGGAAAATCTTCATAATCCTAGCCCTCCATAATTCACTTCTTTGGACAACCATCCACTTTTTCTCCCTATCTTCAGAAATGAGAGATCAGTAAACTCAATTTTTCATCTGATCTGTCAGATTTTTTTTCTGTCCTGTTCCTGAAAGAAACTGGACAGAAAAAAAACAGTGATTGCATAAATTGCATGGAGATGGTCTCAGTAGTCTCACAGTTGCTTATGAGCAAGAACTGTAGATCTTAAAAACATTTTCCTGTTAGAAGCATATACTGCAATGGTGAATATAGTTGAAATCAGCAGAGTCATGTTCTAACAGTGAAGACAGTAATTTATTGCAATTGATATTTTCCAAAGGATAAGAACAGCAAATATAAAACTTATTCTCAATGCCATATAAATCACTTCAAATAGAATCTTTAGGAAGTCACTAGTATACGTGAGTGTCATTTCCAGGACACTTTCCAAATGTAAACTCCAGTCTTAAGATTTTTCTAAAGCTTTGAACTTGTATTGCATTAAGGACATGTTTTTTTTTACAAAGATTACTTCTGAATGACCAAAATACTAATTTGGAAATGCATCATTCAATTCTTTGTCATTTGAAGAAAAATTTTCCTGCTCTTGTAATCTATTTAAATTGACTTTGGCCTTATGATTTTTTGTTCATATTTAATATTGTGTCCTATTAAAGTAAGTCATTTCTGCAGTTGATACTAAGTAAGCCAATGTCTTCATTGGCTTCAGTGGAATCAGAATATTTTAACTTGTTTAAGAAAAAAAATGTTTGTAAGCTAAAATTGAAATGTTAATAAATGTTATACTTAAAAGTGTTTTATATTCAGTGTTCGTGAAAATGTATTTAATAGAAAAATATATACTTTCACAGGCAAAGCTACAGAAGAAGAAATTAAATCATCATTTCTAGAAACATTAGGAGATTCCTGCAGCAATCCCAATGAAGTATCCTACTGTGAGTTTGAAGATTACTATGAAGGATTAAGTGTTGGCATCATGGATGATGATGATTTTGTTAATATCTTAAGGAACCCTTGGGGAA